AGCTCCCCCGATTTATGTATACTGTGTTTTATAGTCTTTCATTTACATTGTAGAATTTGGACTTTTGATTATTGCAAGTAGGAATCTCACGTCCACCTTTTGGTTATTTTCCCTACCAAGAGCCCCTGTCCTCAGCTCCCTGCACACCACCAACGAAAGCTAGACCAATTCCTGTGTTCACAGGATCGACACCTGCTCTTGAGTTAGGTCATAAGACTTAAGAACCCAAAGGGATCATGAGCATGTTAAAATGGTTTGTTAACATCTTTTGGAGGAAGTCTGTTTTTCCTTCCCTCTCTTTTACTCTACTCTTACGTTTTGCCTCTCCCCTCCTCCCCATCCTGTCTCTTTCATAGGTAAGAGAAGTATGTTCTAAATTCACTCGAGGTTTGGATTTCAATTGGCAAGCCCAGGCCCTGATGGCCCTACAAGAGGTAAGAAAGGGCAAGTCACAACTGGGTGAGGTGAGTGTGGGAAAAGAATTCTACATGGATACCAGAACATAACCTTGGTGACTCTTGATTAAGCATTCAGGTGCAAACTGAAAGCTCAGTGTTCAAACCACCAAACCTTTAGCAAGAGGAAGATGTGGCTCCCTGCTTCTATAGAGATGACAGCTTTGGGAACCTCATGGGGCAGTACGACTCAGTCCTGCAGGACTCACCGTGAGTCAGAATTGACGGCCACAGGCTGTGTGACCCAAGACATGGCTAACTAGATTGTCAGAGCAGAATCTTGCCAAGAACAGCAAGGCCCTGGTGGCCGGATTCTTGTTTAGTGGTAGCAGAATTCTCAGGCACTGTTTAGGCTCATTCTCTGAACTATCTACCATCCTGTGAGCCCTCAGAAACAAAATTAACAGATCTCCAAGAAAAAGAGAAGTCAGTGCCGGTCCACCTGTGTCAGCCTGTGTGTTCTTCTCTTCATTCACAGGCGGCAGAGGCATATCTAGTTTATCTCTTTGAAGACGCCTATCTCCTCACCTTGCATGCTGGCCGAGTTACTCTTTTCCCCAAGGACATACAACTAGCCAGGCGGATCCGGGGCATTGAGGGTGGACTCGGCTGAACTGCAGCCACTGTGCCTATGAGCCTTTCCTCTTCAATCAGAGAGCAAGTGCACTTTGCAGAAGAAAACCCCCCAGCTTCTCCTCTTGGGCTGGGATTCCCGTCTTCAGCCTTAGTCCTTGCTGCTTTGCCTTTTCTCTAGAAAAGGTATCTGGTTTTGTCTTTATTGCTTTGGACTCTGGATCATGCCCCTTTTTGTACAATGTCAATGGAAAAAATGTTTTTCTATAAAGTCGTGACTAGAACAACCTGAATCCCTGACATAGTAAAGCATCTCCGTCCTGGTCATAACCAGGGACCTCATTTTTATAATAAGAAATTTTTCTTCATTTCAAGGATGGTCGGGAGCCAAGGCAAGTTATGGAACCTGAGGTACTGCCTCGATTTAGCTCTTTCTGGGTTATATGTTTGTGTTATTTTTTAAAAAAGGACAGGACTGTATGGCTTTCTCTGACAGAGATACTTAAGACACACTTGGCCCAGTCCCAAAGACCAGAGAATTCTTTTAGATAAAAAGACTCCACAATTTACCTCTGTATATAAGGTATCCATAGGACTGTTTTCATGACTTTGAAGGTAACTGATAACTAGCTTAAAGCAGGAAAGACTTATTTTACCCCTGTGTACAGCTTTTGGCATATGTATATTATATTTGAAACATAAGGGAAGCCATATGAGAAAATCTCCAGTCTGCAGCATAAAGGAGCTTGGCGTGTCTAAAGTACAAATCTCTCTCCAGCAGGTTGACATGTCTTGCATGGCTGTGTCAAGCTATTGAGTAGATTTATGCTGTCAACACATTTACAGCTTTTCCAAGCCTCAGTTGGGATTGACCTAAGTAATATTTAAGATAATTCCTTCTAGTAAGTTTCTAACGAAAATATCCCAAAATTCTAACTTGTTCAATTTGCATTTTAGTCTTACTTTCAAATCACAAAAGAGATATAATATCTGTTGTCGTTTTTTATCCTAGGATTTTAAAGTGCTTTCTCAATTGTTCTACAGGTCTGTTTATACTTTCTGTTTGAAAAGATAATAAAAGTGATTTTTTAACAAAATGTTTTAAAAACAAAGTTTATTGTTATAACATATAGAGATTATATAGTTTTATTTCCTGCATGTAAACATTAAGCTCTACATTTATATTGTTTGCAAACTTAAGACAGTTCAAGAATTTATTTGTGCCTCCACTGGAGCAGATAGAAAACCCTGCCTTTCTGTTGTTTGTAAAATCAGTTTCATTTATAATACATGTACCATATAAGTAACATTTTCCATGTCTGGGGTTTCTTGGGAGGCTGTTTTTAACATGTATCATATGTGTTGGTGGATTGTTGACTTGTGTAATTGTATAAACAGAAGAAAGTTCAACAGTTTATTGCTGTGGTGAGAGGTTATTGCATGAGATAGTGCATCCGAGAGGATTAAGTATATAATACTTCTGTCTCTTTGGGCTTCTGTACAGAGAGGTGGGCTTGTTCTGCATTATTGGGATGTTGTGGTATTCAGGTTAGGTGATAAGCAAGTGAGTTTGTTTTCCCATGCTTCATCCTGCCTGTCCTATCACCAGAGTCTAATAGGACATATGTGTTCCATGTACTGCTTATCAGATTTCTTACCCTCCACTGTCACTGAGTGGATTACTCTTCACAGCAACCCTCCAGCAGGTTTCTGAAGCTACCCATCTTGATGAGAGGAGACTACCCATCTTTCCCCTGAGGAGCAGCTGGGGAATTTGAACGACAGAGCTTTTTAACCAGTCCTCCAGAGTGTCTTTGAGTCTATCATTGTTTTGCATTCTTTTTATTTTGTATTGATTTGCATATAAAATTCATATCCATTGTGTTTCACACATTCCTCTATTTGCCTTGTGTTTCATACATTTTGTTTTAGAAGATTAATCACCATTGATCCATGCTCACCATTGCCCCATCCTTTCAGGTCCACTGGCCCCCATCCCTCCACCCACCAAACTCTGACCTCATGATTTCCTCCCTTTCCACCTTCAGTCCCCCTCCTCCATCTCCTTCCACTTTGAACTTTTGTAAACTTCTTACTAGCAGTGTTGGACATTTCCTAAAAAAAAAAGAACATGGAAATTCCTTATGACCCAGCTATTCCACTGTTAGGAATATATCCTGAGGAAAATAGTACTGAGACACAGATTTATACTGTGTCTACACTGATGTTCATAGCAGCATTATTCACAATAGCAAGGAAATGGAAACAGCCCAAAATGCCTATGAACAAACTAATGGATTGAGAAATTGTGGTCCATTCACACAATGGAATACTATGCAACACTCAGGAGCGATGATTTTTAAAAAATGTAACATGAGAGAGGCTGGAGATCATTATGTTAAATGAACTCAGTCTCATAAGGACAATTACTGCATGACTTCTGTAAAGACAGAAGGATAATAGTAAGAGTCCATCATATTTTAACAGAAATTAAAAAAACAATCATTTCTTGATTTTTTTTCCTAATGTGTCCCATTGGGGGATGGGGGGAGAAAATATACACTATGGCCACCCACTTCTGAAATAGCAGGCCTCTGAAAACCCTATGCACAACAGAACACACGCAGATTAACAAAAAGGGCAACCTAGGTAGAAC